TTTAGCTTTAGCTGCTGTTGTTGGTTCTTTAGCTTTAGCTACTGTTGGTCCTTTAGCTTTAGCTGCTGCTGTTGGACCTTTAGCTTTAGCTACTGTTGGTCCTTTAGCTTTAGCTGCTGTTGTTGGTCCTTTAGCATTAGCTACTGTTGGTCCTTTAGCTTTAGCTGCTGCTGTTGGACCTTTAGCTTTAGCTACTGTTGGTCCTTTAGCTTTAGCTACTGTTGTTGGTCCTTTAGCTTTAGCTGCTGTTGTTGGTCCTTTATTTTTAGCTGCTGTTTCTGGTCCTTTAGCTTTAGCTGCTATTGTTGGTCCATTAGCTTTAGCTACTGTTGGTCCTTTAGCTTTAGCTGCTGCTGTTTCTGGTCCTTTAGCTTTAGCTGCTGGTGTTGGTCCTTTAGCTTTAGCTACTGTTGGTCCTTTAGCTTTAGCTGCTGCTGTTGGTCCTTTAGCTTTAGCTGCTGGTGTTGGTCCTTTAGCTTTAGCTACTGTTGGTCCTTTAGCTTTAGCTGCTGCTGTTGGACCTTTAGCTTTAGCTGCTGTTTCTGGTCCTTTAGCTTTAGCTGCTGTTTCTGATCCTTTAGCTTTAGCTGCTGTTTCTGGTCCTTTAGCTTTAGCTGCTGTTCATCTTTGCTCTTCTGTTGGCTTCAGAGCGTTTTGATGAAACCACAAAGGGTCAGGTTTAAAACCAAAGAAAAAGCAAAGGTTCCTCTTTTGTCTCTCTGGTCTGTCCTGGACTTTTTCCACATAATTTACCTTCTGAGCAACAATCGCTCTGCAAACTCTGAGGTTCAGGTCACGTTCTGCAGCTCTAATCTAAACAGAGGAGCGTTTTTAATCATGTTCGTCATCAGTCTGCAGCCTTAAACACAGTTTTATCCACAGCCTCCCTCCAGACAGGTCCATTCAGGCACACCATTTAGCTGATGATTAGCTGACAGGTCCGGACGGGGGATCCTTATCCTGGTTCCAAAAGAGAGCGGTGATGGATTTTTAAAGCTATTGAGTACTTTATTCAGGTACAGTTTGGCAGGAAAGATTCAGCCTGACTATCGACAGAAAAGTTTCTGGCTTTCTTTGTAAGCACCAGACCATCTGTGGTTTTCTTTAGGTGGTCAATTTGTGGAAATGTCTCATTATAATTACTAGTGTTAATGTTTTCTTTAATCAATAACATTGATATTTTTAGTAGAGTACATTTTTTTGCTCAGTCTAAGTCAGTTTAATTGCGGGTCAATTAGAGAAAGACTCCACATTGTAAAATCTTAATTTGATGCTTGACACCAAAACATATTTATTAAGTTTTCAAATGCAAATGTGCCCCACAGGATAGAGAGATTATTCAGATCTTCCAAAGCAGAATATGTGAAGACGTTTTTAAACTCGAAGCGATAATTACT